TGGTCGAAGTTTAGAAGCTATCAATCGTAGGAAAAGTGATATCGCTAAAAAGGTAGAATTTATCATTAATAGAGAAGCAGATATCGTTCGTAAGTGGATATCAATCAAAGAAAAGAATAACGTTAAGACAGACGCAGATATCACATATATAGGCAAAGTGATATTGGTCGAAGTTTAGAAGCTATCAATCGTAGGAAAAGTGATATCGCTAAAAAGGGTAGAATTTATCATTAATAGAGAAGCAGATATCGCTCATAAGTGGATATCAATCAAAGAAAAGAATAACGTTAAGACAGACGCAGATATCAGATATAGGCAAAGTGATATTGGTCGAAGTTTAGAAGCTATCAATCGTAGGAAAAGTGATATCGCTAAAAAGGGTAGAATTTATCATTAATAGAGAAGCAGATATCGTTCATAATTGGATATCAATCAAAGAAAAGAATAACGTTAAGACAGACGCAGATATCAGATATAGGCAAAGTGATATTGGTCGAAGTTTGAGAAGCTATCAATCGTAGGAAAAAGTGATATCGCTAAAAAGGGTAGAATTTATCATTAATAGAGAAGCAGATATCGTTCATAAGTGGATATCAATCAAAGAAAAGAATAACGTTAAGACAGACGCAGATATCATATAGGCAAAGTGATATTGGTCGAAGTTTGAAGCTATCAATCGTAGGAAAAGTGATATCGCTAAAAAGGGGAATTTATCATTAATAGAGAAGAGATATCGTTCATAGTGGATATCAATCAAAGAAAAAGAATAACGTTAAGACAGAGGCAGATATCAGATATCAAAGTGATATTGGTCGAAGTTTAGAAGCTATCAATCAATCAAAGGAAAACGTTGATATCAGATAAAAAAAGGTAGGGAAAATTTCGCACAAAAGGGTAGAATTTATCATTAGAGAAGCAGATATCGTCTATAAGTGGATATCAATCAAAGAAAAGAATAACGTTAAGACAGACGCAGATATCACATATAGGCAAAGTGATATTGGTCGAAGTTTAGAAGCTATCAATCGTAGGAAAGTGATATCGCTAAAAAGGGTAGAATTTATCATTAATAGAGAAGCAGATATCGTTCATAATTGGATATCAATCAAAGAAAAGAATAACGTTAAGACAGACGCAGATATCAGATATAGGGCAAAGTGATATTGGTCGAAGTTTTAGAAGCTATCAATCGTAGGGAAAGTGATATCGCTAAAAAGGGTAGAATTTATCATTAATAGAGAAGCAGATATCGTTCATAAGTGGATATCAATCAAAGAAAAGAATAACGTTAAGACAGACGCAGATATCACATATAGGCAAAGTGATATTGGTCGAAGTTTAGAAGCTATCAATCGTAGGGGATATCGCTAAAAGGGTAGAATTTATCATTAAAGAAGGGTAGTTCATAAAGTGGATATCAAAAAAAAAGATTAATAGACAGACGCAGATATCGTATAGGCAAAGGATAAGTGGAAGGAATATCAATCGTAGGGAAAGTGATAGCTAAAAAGAATTTAATAATAGTTAAGATCGTTTCATAAGTGGATATCAATCAAAGAAAAAAAATAACGTTAAGACAGACGCAGATATCAGATATAGGCAAAGTGATATTGGTCGAAGTTTAGAAGCTATCAATCGTAGGGAAAGTGATATCGCTAAAAAGGGTAGAATTTATCATTAATAGAGAAGCAGATATCGTTCATAAGTGGATATCAATCAAAAGAAAAGAATAACGTTAAGACAGACGCAGATATCATATAGGCAAAGTGATATTGGTCGAAGTTTAGAAGCTATCAATCGTAGGGAAAGTGATATCGCTAAAAAGGGTAGAATTTATCATTAATAGAGAAGCAGATATCGTTCATAAGTGGATATCAATCAAAAGAAAAGAATAACGTTAAGACAGACGCAGATATCAAAGATATATAGAAGCTATCAATCGTAGGGAAAGGCTAAAAAGGGTAGAAAAGTAGAGAAGCAGATATCGTTATTGGATATCAATCAAAGAAAAGAATAACGTTAAGACAGACGCAGATATCAAATATCAAAGATATCGCCAAAAAGGAATCGTAGGAAGGGGAAAGTGATATCGCTAAAAAGGGTAGAATTTATCATTAATAGAGAAGCAGATATCGTTCATAAGTGGATATCAATCAAAGAAAAGAATAACGTTAAGACAGACGCAGATATCAGATATAGGCAAAGTGATATTGGTCGAAGTTTAGAAATCTATCAATCGTAGGAAAAGTGGATATCGCGTTAAAAAGAGGTAGGCAAAGAATTTATCATTAATAGAGAAGCTAAAAGGGTAGATATCGTTCATAAGTGGATATCAATCAAAGAAAAGAATAACGTTAAGACAGACGCAGATATCAGATATAGGCAAAGTGATATTGGTCGAAGTTTAGAAGCTATCAATCGTGGGAAAGTGATATCGCTAAAAAGGGTAGAATTTATCATTAATAGAGAAGCAGATATCGTTCATAAGTGGATATCAATCAAAGAAAAGAATAACGTTAAGACAGACGCAGATATCACATATAGGCAAAGTGATATTGGTCGAATTTTAGAAGCCTATCAATCGTAGGGAAAGTGATATCGCTAAAAAGGGTAGAATTTATCATTAATAGAGAAGCAGATATCGTTCATAAGTGGATATCAATCAAAGAAAAGAATAACGTTAAGACAGACGCAGATATCACATATAGGCAAAAGTGATATTGGTCGAAGTTTATGTTTATCAATCGTAGGAAAAGTGATATCGCTAAAAAGGGTAGAATTTATCATTAATAGAGAAGCAGATATCGTTCATAAGTGGATATCAATCAAAGAAAAGAATAACGTTAAGACAGACGCAGATATCAGATATAGGCAAAGTGATATTGGTCGAAGTTTAGAAGCTATCAATCGTAGGAAAAAGTGATATCGCTAAAAAGGGTAGAATTTATCATTAATAGAGAAGCAGATATCGTTCATAAGTGGATATCAATCAAAGAAAAGAATAACGTTAAGACAGACGCAGATATCACATATAGGCAAAAGTGATATTGGTCGAAGTTTAAAGCTATCAATCGTAGGAAAAGTGGATATCGCTAAAAAGATATCACATAGGCAAAGCGATATTTATCATTAATAGAAGCAGATATCGTTCATAAGTGGATATCAATCAAAGAAAAAGAATAACGTTAAGACAGACGCAGATATCACATATAGGCAAAGTGATATTGGTCGAAGTTTAGAAGCTATCAATCGTAGGGAAAGTGATATCGCTAAAAGGGTAGAATTTATCATTACAGAGAAGCAGATATCGTTCTATAAGTGGATATCAATCAAAGAAAAGAATAACGTTAAGACAGACGCAGATATCACATATAGGCAAAGTGATATTGGTCGAAGTTTAGAAGCTATCAATCGTAGGAAAAGTGATATCGCTAAAAAGGGTAGAATTTATCATTAGAGAACAGATATCGTTCATAAGTGGATATCAATCAAAAGAAAAGAATAACGTTAAGACAGACGCAGATATCAGATATAGGCAAAGTGATATTGGTCGAAGTTTAGAAGCTATCAATCGTAGGAAAATGATATCGCTAAAAGGGTAGAATTTATCATTTAGAGAAGCAGATACGTTCATAAGTGGATATCATATTGGATATCAATCAAAGAATAACGTTAAGACAGACGCAGATATCAATATAGGCAAAGTGATATTGGTCGAAGTTTAGAAGCTATCAATCGTAGGAAAAGTGATATCGCTAAAAGGGTAGAATTTATCATTAATAGAGAAGCAGATATCGTTCATTAGTGGATATCAATCAAAGAAAAGAATAACGTTAAGACAGACGCAGATATCACATATAGGCAAAGTGATATTGGTCGAAGTTTAGAAGCTATCAATCGTAGGAAAAGTGATATCGCTAAAAAAGGTAGAATTTATCATTAATAGAGAAGCAGATATTTCAAGTGGATATCAATCAAAGAAAAGAATAACGTTAAGACAGACGCAGATATCAGATATAGGCAAAGATATTGGTCGAAAAAGAAGTTATCAATCGGGAAAAGTGATATCGCTAAAAAGGTTAAATGGATCAATAATAGAGAAAAAGATATCGTTTTGTGGATATCAATCAAAGAAAAATTACCACGCAGATACTAGATATTGGTGGACTGAAAATCATTTCAAAAGCTCTAAAAGATTTAAAACAGAAAACAGTATGGCTGATAATGAATGTGAAAAAAAGTTTCGGAGAGGGAAACATTGGTTAATATCAAATTGTTATATCCCGCAGTTAGAATTTAACAAAATTTAATGGAAATAAAAGACAAGTATATTTTTAAGAGAATAATGAAACTGCATATCAATTTCATCGACTATGCTAAAAATGAATTACAGAAAACAGATTTCTTTTAAATGAATGATCAATTTTAAAATAACCTGAATCAGGGTGCAATGGTTTTCCTCAGCAGTTAGATATTTTGAAGTGAATGCAAGGCAAAATAAAAAATTTTCGGGTGTACAATGAAATTTGTTTGGAATTGCAGTTCAGATAGACAAAAATTTGAAAAATATCAATCGTAAATTAGTGATTAACCACAACCATTCCATCTATTTTCGACTGTCGATTCAATTTTCTATCGGCCTCAGGTTGAGTCTACGACGGATATTTTCAGAAAACAGTATGGCTGCTGTCTGTCTGTCTAGGAAACGCTGGGCGAACACACTATTTTAAGTTGATAGCCATTGTTCAGACGGATGCAAATCTTGTGCAAATGAGTAACTATCGACTTTCGAACCACAGGGTGCGTTTTATTTTTTTCAGGTCCTCTTTAAATATCAATCGTAGGAATCTTTTGAAAAATCCTGGAAGGAAATCACGTATCATTAATGGAACGGATCATGGAATGGATAACAATGGGCGAACTTCATCATGGTTCATTGGAAAAATACTATCAAAAGTAAATAATAACGGAATTATTCCTTTAATTAATTTGCTAAAGTCATGGTTCACATCTATCTATCTATCGCATATCATATCTATCTATCTATCTATCTATCTATCTGTCTGTCTGTCTAGTTGAGTCTGTTTGTGTCTATCTCGCTAGCTATGTTCATATCTATCTGGGTAGGTTTCTATCTCTCTTTCTCAGTCTATTCCTAACTATATATCTACCTAGCGATCTTTTCATTATCTATCTATCTATCTATCTATCTATCTATCTATCTATCTAGCTATCTATCTATCTATCTATCTATCTGTTCCTCTCACTCCTTCTCTGTTCTCAGTCTGTTCATATTCATCTATCTATCTATCTATCTGGTCTATCTATCTATCTATCTATCTATCTACCTGTCTGTCTAGTTGAGTCTGTTTGTGTCTATCTCGCTAGCTATGTTCATATCTATCACCCATTCAGGTTTCTATTATCTCTCCTTTCTCAGTCTATTCCTAACTATATATCTACCTAGCGATCATTTTCATTATCTATCTATCTATCTATCTATCTATCTATTCATCTATCTATCTATCTATCTGTTCCTCTCACTCCTTTCTCTGTTCTCAGTCTGTTCATATCTATCTATCTATCTATCTATCTATCTATCTATCTATCTATCTATCTATCTATCTGTCTGTCTGTCTAGTTGAGTCTGTTTGTGTCTATCTCGCTAGCTATGTTCATATCTATCTGGGTAGGTTTCTATCTCCCTTTCTCAGTCTATTCCTAACTATATATCTACCTAGCGATCTTTTCATTATCTATCTATCTATCTATCTATCTATCTATCTATCTATCTATCTATCTATCTGTTCCTCTCACTCCTTCTCTGTTCTCAGTCTGTTCATATCTATCTATCTATCTATCTATCTATCTATCTATCTATCTATCTATCTATCTATCTGTCTGTCTAGTTGAGTCTGTTTGTGTCTATCTCGCTAGCTATGTTCATATCTATCTGCAAGTTTCTCATCTCCCTTTCTCAGTCTATTCCTAACTATATATCTACCTAGCGATCTTTTTCTTATTATTCATCTATCTATCTATCTATCTATCTATCTATCTATCTATATCTATCTGTTCCTCTCACTCCTTCTCTGTTCTCAGTCTGTTCATATCTATCTATCTATCTATCCATCATCTATCTATCTATCTATCTATCTATCTATCTATCTGTTCCTCTCACTCCTTCTCTGTTCTCAGTCTGTTCATATCTATTCATCTATCTATCTATCTATCTATCTATCTATCTATCCATCTATCTGTTCCTCTTCACTCCTTCTCTGTTCTCAGTCTGTTCATATCTATCCATTCATCTATCCTATCTATCTATCTATCTATCTATCTATCTATCTATCTGTCTAGTTGAGTCTGTTTGTGTTCATCTCGCTAGCTATGTTCATATCTATCTGGGTAAGTTTCTCATCTCCCCTTTCTCAGTCTATTCCTAACTATATATCTACCTAGCGGTCTGTTTCTTTTTCATTATCTATTCATTCATCTATCTATCTATCTATCTATCTATCTATCTATCTGTTTCTAAATATCAGTTATTCTATCTATCTATCTATCTATCTATCTATCTATCTATCTATCTATCTATCTATCTATCTGTTTCTAAATGTCAGTTATTCTATCTATCTATCTATCTATCTATCTATCTATCTATCTAAATAAGTAAATGGAAGTAGACTCATATCTATGTATCTATTTACTTTTCATCTCACTCCTTCCGTATATCTTCTACTATTTTCATATCTATCTATCTATCTATCTATCTATTACATTCTGTTCGCATCTATCTATCTATCTATCTATCTATCTATCTATCTATCTATCTATCTATCTATCATGGGATCTTACCCATAATAATAATAATGGAATATTCCATACTTAATAAATACTGCGCCTCAGGAGTAGGCAAGGAGTCAGCAGTTCAAGTCGATCTTGGTCGGCCGGATGATCGGTTGAACTCTCAGCCTTCGGGCGGGGAGGAACCCGAACGAGGCTATGCCGAGGGGCGGAGTCTCGTTTGGGGAGGTAAACCGGCCCGGAGCCAGTTTATACGGGTTCAATGGGCATATTTTTAGGCTGAGCCCACGGGCTCGGAGAACCCACAATAAATAACCGACCTTTTGTCACATGATGCCTCAGTGTAGGGGGGTGGTGGTTGTTACTGAATATCGTCAGTAGTTCAAGTCGAGTCAAGAGACGAGTCAGAGGCAGTCCGAAACAGAGTTGCGTTCAGACAATTACTGCAAGACATTGGAATAGTGATACTGGTCGAGACTACATTGTTCTCTCTACTAAACCTGATTGTTCATACTAACACTTCTACTTCTCTGTATATCTTCGTGTTTGTAATATATCTGTGTTATTCCATACCTGTGTTCGAGTTCTTCTTTATTGGTTCTACCTTGGACTATCACCGTGGTACAAGGAACCGGACCATAACAAGTGCCGACGAAGATTCGAATTCATTCGGTGGAAAAAAAAAAATTCGTTCGCTACAGTATAACAAGTGGCGACGAGGAAACCAACTCTCTACGCGGAGGACATACCTTTTTTATGCTAATCGCCGCGCATAACAAGTGGCGACGAGGAAACTCTAAAAAGGTAATACGAAACTAATTTTAAAAAAATACGTTAACATGGAAGATTTTAAGTCAACCATTATGGAACTTATCAAAATCCAATTTGAACAGCAACAAAGGTACGAACAGAAACATCTGGAATTGCAAGAAATATTGTTACGTGCAATGACAAATAAGGAGCAAAAATCCGAGAACGAAACAGTTTTCTCACAAGACGCTAATTGGAGTAATATCGAAGATTTCAAATACGCACCCGACGAAGATAAAACTTTTGCAAATTACTTCCGAAGGTACGAAGATCTATATGATTTTGACTGCAAAGATTGATCAGACGCACGTAAAGTACGCCTATTACTAAGAAAATTAGGCACAGGCGAATATACCAAATTCGTAGATTATATCCTTCCCAGAAAAAACAAGCGAGTTAACGTTCAAAGAATCCATAAAACTGCTAATGAAACTTTAGGAGTAGGCAAGGAGTCAGTAGTTCAAGTGGAGTCAAGAGTCGAATCAGAGGCAGTCCGAAACAGAGTCGCGTTCAGACAATTACTGCAAGACATTGGAATAGTGATACTGTTCGAGACTATATTGTTCTCTCTACTAAACCTGATTGTTCAGACTAACACTTTTCTACCTCTCTGTATATATTCCTGTTTGTAATATATCTGTGTTATTCCATACCTGTGTTCGAGTTCTTCTTTATTGGTTCTACCTTGGACTATCACCGTGGTACAAGGAACTGGACCATAACACTATCTATCTATCTATCTATCTATCTATCTATCTATCTATTCTCATTGTTTTCACATCTATCTATCTATCTATCTATCAAATAAATACCAAATGTTAAATGTTTCCTTCTATAGAAACGGCTAATAATACCATTAACATTGAGTTGAAGTAATTATAGTTTGCATAATTTAGAGAGAGAGAGAGAGAGAGAGAGAGAGAGAAAGAGAAAGAGAGGGCATGTTTGCGGGTGAGTTGCCGTTCCAAAGTTCAAAGAGAAAAGCTGTCGAGCCTTTCAATTTAAATTTCCGACTTTAATTTAAATCGGGGGCGCAAATCCAGCAGTACAAACATTAATCATGGTTTCGTTATAAACTGTGGGGTGGGGGGAAGACATCAAAACTTGTAAAATGATGAATGTGAGAATCTGAAGGAAGACATGACAGCAACAAAAATTGATGCATTACAGAATGATTAGAGCTGAGCACGACAAATTGTTCTAATGAAGCGTTAAAAGAGACAAAAAAACAACAAACAAATGTAAGAGGTAAAAGACCGATCTTGTTCGAATGAAATATAATACAGCGACAGACACGCCGAATTTCACGGTTACTTGAGGTTCATGAAGAAATCGATCAGAGACATGTAAAGATAGGTCGTAGGGAATGTGATATCACTAAAAGGGAATGCTTTATCATTAATAGAGAAACAGATGTCGGTCATAAGGAAAAATATATCGGTTAGAGAAAAGAACAACGTTAAGACAGACACAGATATTAGACGAAGAAAAATAGATATTGGTTGAAGAGGAGGAGGTATCAGTCGAAAGTGATATAACTAAAAGGGTAGAAGTTATCCTTAATGGACACGTAGATATCGTTCAGTAGTGGATATCAATCAGTGAAAAGATTATCGATAAGAAAGAGGCCGATATAAGACAAACAGAATGTTATATAGATCGTAGAGAAAGCTATATAAATAAATGAAAAGGATTTATCGTAAGAAAAGAAGCGTCGGTATCAGTAACAGAGAAGCAGGTATGAATAAGTTAGAAGCAACTATTAGTAACGGAGATTTTGGTATCTTTTACATAAAAGCACGTATTAGTCTGAGAGAAGAAGGTATCAGTAAAACAAAAAGATTAATCAGTAACAGAGAAGCAGGTATCAGGAAAAAAGTAGCAGGTACCAGTAAGAGAAAAGCAGGTATGATTAAAAGAAAAGCAGGTATCGGTAAGAGAGAAACAAATATGATTAAAAGAGAAGCAGGTATCAGTAAGAGATAAGCAGGTATGATTAAAAGAGAAGCCGGTATCGCTAATAGAGAAGCCGGTAACAGTAAGAGAGAAGCAGGTGTGATTACAAGAGAGGCAGGTAAAAATAAGAGAGAAGCAGGTATGATTAAAAGAGAAGCAGGTATCGGCAATAGAGAAGCAGGTAACAGTAAGAGAGAAGCAGGTATGATTAAAAGAGAAACAGATATCAGTAAGAGAGAAGCAGGTATGATTAAAAGAGAAGCCGGTATCAGTAAGACAGAAGCAGGTATGATTAAAAGAGAAGCAGGTAACAGTAAGAGAGAAGCAGGTATGATTAAAAAGAGAAACAGATATCAGTAAGAGAGAAGCAGGTATGATTAAAAGAGAAGCGGGTATCGGCAATAAAGAAGCAGGTAACAGTAAGAGAGAAGCAGGTACGATTAAAAGAGAGACCCGTATCAGTAAGACAGAAGCAGGTATGATAAAAAGAGAAGTAGGTAACTGTAAGAGAGAAGCAGGTATGATTAAAAAAGAAGTTGGTATCAATAAGAGAGAAGCAAGTATGATTAAAAGAGAGGCGGGCAACAGTAAGAGAAGATGGTATCAGTAAGAGAGAAGCAGGTATGATTAAAAGAGAGGCAAGTAATAAGAGAGAAGCAGGTATGATTAAAAATAGAAGCAGTTAACAATAAGAGAGAAGCAGGTATAATTTAAAGAGAAGCAGGTATCGGCAATAGAGAAGAAGGTATCAATAATAGAGAAGCAGGTATGATTAAAGGAAAAGCAGGTAACAGCTATAGAGATGCAGATATCAATAAGAAAGAAGCAGGTAAGATTAAAAGGGAAGCATGTAACAGTAAGAGAGAAGCAGGTATGATTAAAAAGCGATCCAGACATCAGTAAGAGAGAAGCAGGTATGAGTAAGTGAGAAGCAGGTATGATTAGACGAGAAGCGGGTGTAGGCAATAAAGAAGCAGGTATCAGTAAGCGAGAAACAGTTGTGATTAAAAGCGAAGCAGATATCAGCAAGTTAGAAGCAGGTATGATTAAAAGTGAAGCAGGTAACAGTAAGAGAGAAGCAGGTACGATTAAAAGAGAGACACGTATCAGTAAGACAGAAGCAGGTATGATTAAAGAGAGACTAGTATCAGTAAGAGAGAAGCAGTAATAATTAAAAGAGAAGCAGATATCAGTAAGAGAGAAGCAGGTATGATTAAAAGAGAGGCGCGTATTAGTAAGAAAGAAGCAGTGATCAGTAAGAGAAAAAACAGGTATGATTAAAAGAGGAGCAGGTAACAGTAAGGAGAGAAGCAGTGATCAGTAAGAGAAAAGCAGAGATCAGTAAGAGAGAAGCAGTCATGATTAAAAGAGAAGCAGCTAACATTAAGAGAGAAGCAGGTATGATTAAAAGAGAAGCTGGTATCAGTAATAGAGAAGCAGGGATCAGTAAGAGTAAGAGAGAAGCAGGTATGATTAAAAGAGAAGCAGGTAAGAGTAAGAGAGAAGCAGGTATGATTAAAAGAGAAGCAGGTAAGAGTAAGAGAGAAGCAGGTATGATTAAAAGAGAAGCAGGTAAGAGTAAGAGAGAAGCAGGTATGATTAAATGAGAAGCAGGTAACAGCAAGTGAGAAGCAGGTATGACTAAAAGAGAAGCAGGTATCGGTAATAAAGAATCAAGTATCATTAAAAGAGATGCAATTATCAGTAAGTGGGAAGCAGGTATCAGTAACAGTGAAGCAGTTATGTATCTGTTTTCTGGGGAAGTGCGACTCAGTTGTGACTCTGTCCGCGGATAGAGTGACGCAGCTGAGGAAAATAATACTTTGAGGTTCCTGGCCCTAGAAAGCAGCTGCACGTGTCTGTACATTCTCATTGAACTTTAGAGGGGGATCGGTGGTCGACACCTATTTCAACGCAACCGACGGTTGCGTGAGCTTGGGCGATTTTTCCACTTGGCATGACTGTAGGCTCTCGTGTCCGCCACGTTAATCCAGACCTTTTGTCGCATCCCGTCTCAGTGGGATGGCTTGGGTAACAGAGACACACGTATCAGCAATAGAGTTGCTCGTATCAGTAAGAGCGAAGCGGATATCTGTAACAGTGAAGCCTGTATCAGTATGCTTCTCTCTTACTGATACCGGCTTCTCTGTAACCGAGGAGAAAGTATCAGTAACAGGGAAGCCAGTATCAGTAACAGAGATGCAGGTATTCGTAAGAGAGAAGATGATATAATTAAGTGAGGAGCAGGTAACGTTAAGAGAGAAGCAGGTATGATTAAAAGAGAAACAGTTATAATTAAAAGAGAAGCAGGTAAAAGTAAGAGAGAAGCAGGTATGATTCAAGGAGAAGCAGGTAACATTTAGAGAGAAGCAGGTAACAGTTAGAGAGAAGCAGGTATGATTAAAAGAGAAGCAGGGATCAGTAAGATAGAAGCAGGTATGATTAAATGACAAGCTGGTATCAGTAAGAGAGAAGCACGTATGATTAAAAGAGAGGCAGGTATCAGTAAGAAAAAAACAGCTATGATTAAAAGAGAAGCAGATATCAGCAAGGGAGAAGCAGGTATGATTAAAAGTGAAGCAGGTATCAGTAAGAGAGAAGCAGGTATGATTAAAAGAGAAGCAGGTATCAGTAAGAGAGAAGCAGGTATGATTAAAAGTGAAGCAGGTAAGAGTAAGAGAGAATCAGGTATGATTAAAAGAGAGGCAGGTATCAGTAAGAGAGAAGCAGGTATGATTAAAAGAGAAACGGGTATGATTACAGGAGAAACAGGTAACAGTAAGAGAGAAACAGGTATGATTAAAGGAGAAGCAGGTAACAGTAAGAGAGAAGCAGGTATGGTTAAAAGAGAAGCAGGTAAAAATAAGAGAGAAGCAGGTATGATTAAAAGAGAAGCAGGTATGATTAAAAGAAAAGCAGGTAACAGTAACAGAGATGCTGGTATCAGTAAAAGAATAGCGGGTATAAGTAACAGAAAAGCATTTTTCTGTCTCCAGAGAAGCGGATATAGGGGAGAGAAAAGCAAGTAACAGAGTAGTTTGTATTAGTAATAGAGACACAAACATTAGTAAGCGAAACCTTTATCCGTAAGAGAGAAGCAAGTATTAGTAACAGCGAAGTCGGTTTCAGTAACATAATACCAAGTATCAGTAACGGAAAAGCAGTTATCAGTAACACAGTAGTAATAACAGTAACACTAAAGCAGCTATATTTATTGCAGTACCAGCTGTCAGTCATAAAAACTGTCTCTTAATCATAGCTCGTTCAGTGTTTCCCCATATTCTGTGTAGATGTAAATATGCTCAAGGTATATTTATAACTTTTTTTTCGAAGTTGTATTGAATTATCGGCATTTGATTATCTGGGGGGTGGGAACTTTTTGTGTGTTCAAATAAAAGGCTGCTGTCCTCTTTTTGTCGCATAAGGTTTTAAAGCCTTGTCACCCTGCGTCTCCAGGATGTTGCCAAATGCGATTCTAGTCGAATAATAATAATAATAATAATAAAATGCCAAATGTTTTGCCAACCATGTCATATCGCAAATAAATAAAATAGAATACAACAACGTAAAAATGAAACTATGCTGTGATCGACGCCAACATGATCGGTGTGGCGTGGTTAGAAAATACAGAAGTGAGGACAATGTACATCAATACTTATTAATTTTCAATAGAGGTAAATTACAACCATTGACATGTCTATCACTATCACCATGATACGTGCACAAACACACACAGGTACAGCTATCTGAATGGCTGTCTGTCTGTCTGTCTATCTATCTATCTCATTTTGTTCATTTTCTATCTATCTATCTATCTATCTATCTATCTATCTATCTATCTATCTATCTAATTCTGTTCATTTTTTTTATCTATCTATCTATCTATCTATCTATCTATCTAATTCTGTTCATCTATCTATCTATCTATCTATCTATCTATCTTATTCTTTTCATCTCTTTCTCGCTTTCTTTCTTATTCCATTCATTATCTATCTATCTTTAAATATATCTAATTAAATATTTATATATATACATAAACTTTGATATGCACTCCAAGCCCCAAACCAGCACGCCACCTTTCTCAATCACACACACACACACATATATATATATATATATATATATATATATATATATATATATATACATACACCCTCACATATCAAATATACACTATATATATATATATATATATATATATATATATATATATATACAAGAATATTCTCTCCCTCTCTCCCCCCCTCTCCCTCTCTCTCTCTCACACACACACACTGCCAGTGAACGCTCATCATTTCTCAGTTACGTCTCTGTTTTCGGGCGTAGTGCGACTCGGTTGTAGCTTTGTCTATGCAGTTTGGGAACCAGTGAAAGTAGCTCGTCGCAGCAGTTGCCATGAAAGTGCTCGTAGAAAAGACAGAGGGAAGCCACAGAACGTCTATGCTTCTCTGTTACTGATTAATCTTTTTGTTTTACTGATACCTTCTTCTCTCTGACTAATACGTGCTTTTATGTAAAAGATACCAAAATCTCCGTTGCTAATAGTTGCTTCTAACTTACTCATACCTGCTTCCCTGTTACTGATACCGACGCTTCTTTTCCTACGATAAATAAGCCACAGAACGTCTATGAGATAGCGACTGCAGACGGGATACCAGATCAGGACCAAACACGTTGCATATCCGTCTCTGGATTTGTGTCGAGGACCTCGAGATGAACATATATGGCAGCAGTATTCCATGCAAGGACGAATTGTTGATTTGTAGATTTGAAGGATGAACTCCGGCGAGAACAACCTTCTGGCGCGACACAGAGAGAACCAACTTTCCTTGCGATAGATGAAGCAATAGATTCAATGTATCATCAAAATCAATAATGGAAATAACAAACATATGCGATAAGTCTTTGAAGCAATTACATCTTAGTATAGTGACCCTTCTTCTTAATAACAGCCAGCAATCTATTATCCATTGCTTATGTTAAATTGTTTACTTCAACAGGTTCAATTCCCGACGATGATTCTTCATATAATTTCTTCTTGGCAATTGACCATAGATTTTCGATAGGATTCAGATCGGAACTTAATGGAGAAGATAACGGAATGGCTGCCATTAAGTTCCGATCTGAATCCTATCGAAAATCTATGGTCAATTGCCAATAAGAAATTATATGAAGGTGGCAAACATTACGACAGCAAAGCAATTGATTTTGATGATTTTATGACATTGTTATTGAATTAAAAAGTGATTTTTGGTTTTGGCTTTATAACTTCAAAATGCAATTTTTGTAATAAATTCAGTAACTTTAATAAAAATGTTGAAGCAACCTAAAATATTATTTCAGGCATTTTTGTCGTCATAATTAATCATTGTTCAAAGCAAAATACAAGTTATTTCGGTTTATGTGATTTGCGAAATAACTTCAGAAGGACTGTTGATACTGAGGTGTGAAAATATCAATCATCGTGCAGTGTTGATTTCTTTCTATCTATCTATCTATCTATCTATCTATCTATCTATCTATCTATCTATCTATCTATCTCAGTCTGTTCCTTATCTATCTATCTATCTATCTATCTATCTATCTATCTATCTATCTATCTCGGCCTGATCCCTATCTATCTATCATTTTTCTATATAGCTATCTCATTATATTAAAATATATTTATTTCAGTTCATATCTATCTATCTATCTATCTATCTATCTATCTATCTATCTATCTATCTATCTACTGCAGCTTGTTCGTATCTATCTATCTATCTATCTATCTATCTATCTATCTATTGCAGCTTGTTCCCTATCTATATCTATATCTATCTATCTATCTATCTATCTATTGCAGCTTGTTCCTTTCTATATCTATCTATCTATCTATCTATCTATCATATCTATCTATCTATCTATCTATCTATCTCGGCCTGATCCCTGTCTATCTATCATTTTTCTATATAGCTATCTCATTATATTAAAATATATTTATTTCAGTTCATATCTATCTATCTATCTATCTATCTATGTGTGTGTATGTGAATGTGTGCACGATAGATTCCTGAAAATATCTCGGCGTGATTGATTTCCTAAAACAGCATAAATAAGATCTTAAAGAAAAATCCTTATTTCTTATTTATTAATTCTCTTTTTCAAACGCTTGATGATCATCCGACAATCGACAAATAAACCGAGCGTACCTATGAAGCTTGAAGTCAAGTCATTCAATAACTGTTTATCTGGGCAGAAATCTATCTTTAAAACAAGACAACAGCTAAAAATTAAATTCGCGTTTAAATTTATATATATATATATATAATTATTTATTTAAAAATTATAACATAAATGATACTTATTATAAAACCCAGGTTGTGTGTGTGTGTGTGTGTGTGTGTGTGTGTGTCTGTACGTTTATATATTGGATCGGATTTCCTATATTTTTCAACCGATTTTAACAAAACTTCACAGGACTCCGTAAAATTACCTTGCGGTGGTTCTGACGGCGCTAAAAAATGGAAAAACACAATTGTTTTTGCACGAAATCAATTTGAAAACACGTTTAAGAGGCAAAGAGAAATGTAAATTCAAATACAGCGTCCATCGCCATCTGTCTTCCTGAACCCTGTTTCTTTATTGTCCATTCCTCACTTCTCATTCCTAAAGTTTTCTCATTCTCTTTCACTCCCTGTAGACTCCCGTGTCCTAGTTGCATCTTTGCCATGCTTTGGGCGAAAGTGAATGCTTAGTTTTCTTTTGATTATCGGTATCACTTGTTAATAAAGATTAATATAATTGTCCCATAATATTTGTGACATTTGTATGTTTTTCTATTGATTATTGGCAACATTTAATTAAGGCAACGTTTATCTGTTCCCGGTACAACGAGTTTTTATATTAAAATCTGACAGCCCCGTTTTCGCAATTAGCTTCAACTGACTTTAGGCAAAATGCTCTGGCAAGCAAAAAGTGAAATATACAAAAAGCACCTGCTGTGTTCAGAAATTTTCGCTGATCCACGAAAAGAAATTTAACTACAAGTTAGTCAAAACTTGTGATGACAAATAATGCTCAAAATTCATTGAACTAATATGCATATTGAAAATTGTCTCAACTCAATTTTCCTAACCGTTAAGGCCTTGTTTCGTATTAAGCTTAGTAAATTTCGATCCACGAAAAGAAATTTAACTACAAGTTAGTCAAATCTGTGATGACAAATAATGCTCAAAAATTCATTGAACTAATATGCATATTGAAAATTGTCTCAACTCAATTTTCCTAACCGTTAAGGCCTTGTTTCGTATTAAGCTTAGTAAATTTCGATCCACGAAAAGAAATTTAACTACAAGTTGGTCAAATCCTGTGATGACAAATAATGCTCAAAATTCATTGAACTAATATGCATATTGAAAATTGTCTCAACTCAATTTTCCTAACCGTTGAGGCCTTCTTTCGAATTAAGCTTAGTAAATTTCGATAGACATGTCCGTTATGCCTAGTTCTGATATAACAGCGTAGATGTGCCTGAAAATGAAGTATTGTGGCCATATTTGAGCTGGATCTGCTAAATCCTCTCTTTCTATTCTTGATAGAGTTAAAAAAAAAATCTACGCGGCCTCGTGGGTAATGAATTAATTTCAACTCACCCCACAGTGGCGAACAATCCTCATTCGCTTCGTATTATTTTTATGTCTTCTAAACGTTGTTTCGCCATAAATTTACTCCAGATATTTAAAAATGTTATGCGTTGTTTTTCTCTGTCCCTCTTGCCTTCAAACTGTCCAGTGAACATCAGTTTTTCCAAGACTTCTTTCCTCATTATGTTCCTTAGAAATTTCAACTCTCTCTTCCTGATGTTACATATAAGTTTCCTTCATAGTTGCTCAGATATTTGGCCCATGGTATCCTCATCATCCTTCTGCAGAACCACATTTATGTTGCTTCGAGTCTGTTCTCCATCTTTGAGGAGTTTTGTGATGTCAACGAACACTTGTTTCCACCTTCTTAATGTCAACGAATATTCGTTGTCACTTTCGTAATGCTCGTTGTAGTAGAGACTTTGTAATCGCAGATACAACTATAGTAACGCCGTTGAACAATACTGGTGTCAGACGCCTTCGAATATCATTCGCACTAATAATACTTGCTCG